GATGCAATCTCCATTTCTCAAGACTTCATATCCCATCATGCATTGCTTCCTGCAAGCAATAATAATGTTACATTGTTCAGATGTTGAGTTGTAGTTCAGGGGGCAGGCTCTGCGAGAGTGGTGACACCAGCAAGTACATATTCACAGGGCTGAGTGGAATGGTGTCACTGCGTTACGGAAGTCCATCTTATGGGCATCTTCAATAATTAGGTTTGCAAACTTCTAGATGGATCTGGTTATTAGGAGTGGGGTAAAACTTATAGAAATTCAGAAAAGAAATACAGATTTATCTTTCGTTTTTGACCATAGAGACCCTTTACAGACTTGGTTCTATGTAGTTATGCTGGGATTTGTAGTTCCACTGCGATAGTTTGATCTTATTGATCTCTTCAGCAGGAAAAGTATTTAGAGAACCCATTTCCTATAACATTGTGATTTTTGCCATCATGGAGGGACATGAGCCGTCCCTAAAGCCCAGCGGTGCCGATGGAATAGTGATGATGAAGACGGATCGGGGGTTATGATGGCCCGCTCTCAATGCCGGGATTTAGTGAATTCCCTGAATGTCCGGAGAATCAATGGCTTTGTATTGCTATCTATAGATCTGTAATGTATAGTGTGGTGCCTCAAAGATGAGCCTCCTTCCTGTAAAGGGGTATTATTGGAATGGCCGAGGTGCCGCTGAGAGAGGGAATGACAAGATGGATGAGAAGAACCCGTTCTTAGTATCTCGTTGCAGTAATGGAAAGTTAGGCTTGATCCACTCCTCTATGTGCACATTTTCATTTGTTTTCATGTCCGCTCTCTACAATTGTGAGCTCTCATGGTCATCAATAGGCCCTATAATGTGCAACAGTGGCAAACTCACATCAACACATCACACAGATGTCAACTGTAGTCCATGGCTTCAGTTAGGCTTCCAAGGCCCATTAAATTCTGCCCCTAGCAAGACCCATTAGACTCCACCTCTGGCAAGACCAATTAAACTCAACCGCTAGGAAATAGGGATGCACCAATACTGATACTAGTATCGGTGCCGATAGAGTATTTGGGCGAGTACTCGTACTCGCCCAAATGCTCCGATACTTACCCCCAATACCGGAACATCCGGTCAGAGGGAGATTTCCTCTGACTGGCAGTGCCATGAGGGAACATGGAGCTGGTTTCCTGGCCAATCAGGAAGCCAGCTGGTGGGTAATGACTTCCTGATTGCCTGGGAAACCAGCTCAATATTGATGGGCTGGGCTCCATACTGATTGGCTCCAATCAGTATGGAGCTGGCTTCCCGGGCAATCAAGAAGCCAAGTGGCAGGTAATGACACACCGCTTCATGATTGGCCAGGAAGCCATCTTCATGCTAGTGGAAGTCCCAGTATTGGTACTCGGTATCAGCAAGTACCAAAAGATAAATATCGGTACTTAATACCGAAAAAAACCCAGTATCCCTACTAGCAAGCCTATTAGACTCCGCTGCTATTAGACTCTGCTGGTAGCAAGGCTCATGAGACTCTACCTCTAGCAAGGCCAATTAGATTCAACCTGTAGCAAGGCCAATGGAACTCAACAGCTAGCAGGACCCATTACACTCCACCGCTAGCAACGCCCAGTAGACTCCACCACTAGCAAGACCCATTAGACTTCACCGCTAGCAAGACGCATTAGACTTCACCGCTAGCAAGACCCATTAGACTCCACCGCTAGCAAGGCCCACTAGACTCCACTGCTAGCAAGATCGCTAGAATATCACTCTTGGTCACACTGTCCCTTTAAGGCATCCATAGGGAAGACGATTGGGCGGCAGGGCATTCTGCTGCCACATCCTCAAGACTGTTATGTTACCTCAGCTATCAGCTCACGTCTGTTACCGTCTCTCGTCTCAACGTAGCACGTGACATGGAAACGTGATAGAGCCAGCTCCAGTTCATTTGGCATTTCGACCGGGCTGCGAGGAAAAAAACAAAAACTAATAATAATTTCGGCAGATGGATTTTCTGCAGCAGTGATAATGTGAACATGACAGATTTGTGATGATAATTTAGGCTCTCACAATTATATTCTCTTTCTGCAGTTGCCAGGAACATCCAAAACTTAAAAAAAAACCAGAGCGTTCGGCGACGGTTTGTTATATTTGGCGTCCTGGGCCTGCTATTTTTGTGTGTTTTTTCCCCGGGATCCGCACTGGATTTTCAGCCCAAACATTTCTCCAGAGTCAATGCAGTTAATGGAAATGATAGACGGTTCGCCGCTGATTGGCCATATATTGAACAATGCTGGCCAATAATAGGGTGGCGTTCAGTGAAAGCTTATAATTTTCAGGGAGAGGAAAAATGATGGCTTTGTTACACGGAAAAAAACTATTTGTGCATTCCTTTCCAGAAAAGAAAAAAATTTGATCTCATACAATACCCTTCGCTTGATCTGTTATTATGTATTATATAGTTTGCACTTCTATTGTATTCTATTGTTGTTCTTACCCGAGAGCCATTTCTTTGGCTTGATTTTTCACATGAACTAGATTTAATTGACATATTGTAATTAAAATATATATATATATATTTATCTGCAAGTCAATTAAAGACTGCTGACCTAAGCAGTTCTTGGGCATTGAGGCTTTTCACCCATCTTCCATATTTGGCTTATTCTATGCTAGTACAGCTTTTTCATCTGATGGAAATCTTAAAATTAAAGTAAAATGTTGGGGTATCTGTGGCCTGGAGATACTGATCTACTTCCTCACAACTTTGAACAACTATTTGTATGTTCTGAAAGCAAGCCTGCAGGCCACAGAAAATAATCATAACCATGGTCATGGTGCTCACAGTCCTGGCTGCTTCTCTGTGTACTAGCAAGGATAGAGACTCTTACCATATAAGGAAGTCACCTGCTGAGATGAACGACAGAAGCTGTCTGGCCTATAGCGGAAAATCTTGAAGCCCAACTTTTTTTTTTAAGGCTGTTCCCCAATAGCCTCAAAAATTTCTGAAGATATTGGGGAATAACCTTAAAAAAATGTGTCCACTATAGGCCAGACAGCTTTTGTAGTTCATTGGACTTCTAGTCTATAGGACGTACAGTAGGGTTAGCCAGGGCCAAAAGGAAGAGGCTATATGATGCTGGGGTCCCTTTGTTCCACTTACCTTCTTCATGCTGCTGCACAGGTCCACGCTTGTTAAAGGAGAACTATGAGGTGAGTGCTTTTTACTCACCTCATAGTTATAGCCGACCTGTGACAATGAGACTGTCACAGGTCGGCTCAGTAGATCCGGAGGTGAGCGAACACATAACAGCGTTCGTTCACTTCTCGATCCTGTCACGGCTGGATTCCCCCCTCCCCGTTCTGATCCACCAGCGCTGACTGGTGGATCGGACGGGGTGGGTACAGCTGGCTCTGCCTCTAGATAGGCAGAGCCAGCTGTCAGTCACGCAGCTGGGCGGATCCCGGCACAATTGTCGGGATCCGCTTCAGCTGCGGCGTCTTAGTATACCGCGAGCAGCAGCTTGCAGTATACTGAGCCTAGGGTGACGGGAGGACGCCAGTTTGTGTCCTCCCGTTACCCTAAGGAGAACTATGGGGAAAAGCCTTAACCCCATAGTTCTCCTTTAATTGCCCCATTGCAGCCCCCCCCCCTACTGTCCCACCTTCCGATTGAATGATCCCCAGCATCATACAGCCTATTCTTCCTGCTTTGGCCCACATAGCAAACCCTCCTGTAAGTCCTATAGACTACCAGCATGTAGACATGTAAGCTATGGAAAAATGTGGTTCGCTTCGCATATTTACAGGTGAAACTCGAATAATTAGAATATCGTGCAAAGTTCATTTATTTCACTAATGCAACTTAAAAGGTGAAACTAAGATAGGAGAGAGACTCATTACATGCAAAGCAAGATAATTCAAGCCGTGATTTGTCATCATTGTGATGATTATGGCTTACAGCTCATGAAAACCCCAAGAACCCCAAATCCACAACCTCAAAAAAGTAGATTATTACATGCAATCAATAAAACAAGGATTGTACATAGAACAATATCGGACCTCTGAAAAGTACAAGCATGCATATGTACTCAGTACTTGGTTTGGGCCCCTTTTGCAGCACTTACTGCAATTACTTTTGCACAATATTCTAATTATTCGAGTTTCACCTATATATTACTAAAGCTTAGGCTCCCAGACCCGAATGGCATTCGGGAGCTCCCAAATGCAGTTCAGAAATTTGGATCCCAAATGCCTTTCGGGTCTGGGACATTCAGCTTTACTACTAATATCTGTATATGGTTTTCTGTGGTATTCACAATGAATATTCGTAAACTCATCCGAAACTAACGAAGATTCTGATTTTGTCAGAATCCGAAACCCGAACCGAATTGAATTTCAGCTTTAGTATTATAAGTAAATACTGTATATGGCTCCCATGTTGCCGTAACGAAAATTCGTGTTCAGACCCATTCCGATGCAATAGACCGAAAAACACATCTGATTGGCCAGAAAAGTCACATGTCCGATTCAGTTTCCTTTTTGGAACAAAATTCGGACGGGATCCGAAATTCAGGAACGGAAATTCGGATTCGGAAACATTTGGATGCAATGGGATTCGGATATGTCCGAATGTCCAAATTTCAGAAAATCCGTCCGAATTGTGATTTGGACTAAACGAATCGCACATGTCTACCAGTATGCATCTTGACGCTTCCTGGGTCTATAGTACGCGATTGGCAGTTGTCTCCCACCACCATGCAGCTCAACGTGACCACTCATGCTTCTTTACAAGCCCTCTGCAGCAATGTCAGAGCATTGCATACAGGGAAATGTAGTTCACAGACAGCACTGGACATCCAAACGTGAGGCCCTACAAGCACTGTTCAAACCCACCCACATGCTGCATGATGTTAAAGTATGTGCTAATTGTTTGTACAATCATGTTTAGAATGAGGACCTGCCTGTTTACCGATAACAATAATATCATGCCTCATTAATGCTTTATTTCTGTCTTCTATTGCAGGGTGCCAAACCTGGGCCTCCACCACCACCAGCAAGTGGAGGACCTCCACCCCCACCTCCTCCTCCGCCACCCTTTCTTGGTGGGATGATCCCTGGTCCTCCACCACCTCCACCTTTTCCAGGATCATGCCCGCCTCCTCCACCACCACCACCTGGCTTTGGACCTCCAGGTCCTCCTCCTCTTTTCGGAGGACCACGTCCTCCGCCACCTTTTGGAGGTGGAAGGTTTCCTGGACCTATGGTTCCTCCACCAATAGTTTTACCCTTTGGAATGAAGGCAAAGAAAGTGTATGCTCCAGAAACTGCCATGAAGAAGATCAACTGGTCAAAGGTAACATTTATTTATTTTTTCAGAAAAAGAAACAAATCATAAAAGTTCAGTCCACCCAAAAAGTGATATTTTAGTTCTAGGGAAGCATGGTGTGCTGAGTCAGCCCCGGGCTTCTTACGTATTAGATGCTCCAACAGCGAGATCAGCCTGACATAATCCTAACTCTGATCCTGTCTACATGGATGCGTTGGATGTTCCTGACCACCTTAACGTGTTCCAGGACCCTCGGTTACATTCTTCATGATATATAACAAATAAAAGTTGCAGCAGGAATGGTGGAAGCCAACATAATGGGGACCCGGGGGCAGGGTCGGATTTACTCTCTCTGCTGCCCCAAGGCCAGGTTCCTCATTGCGACCCCCGTACCAGCCCCCCTACCGTAGATGCTCCCCCAAGGGAAAAGTTCTCCATCCACACACCCAGTGGCACCCCTCTTAAAAAGGCACCTGGGGCATATGCTCCCCCCTAGCTTCGGCCCTGGTTGGGAACAATGCTAACTGATCAGAATGCAGCACGGGCAGAGAGTACAGGAGGTTAGGAGCTTACTGGATTTCTGGCAGAATCAACAGGTATTTTGTGCACTCATCAGACAGATATAACGAAATGCTTTTTGGTGGTATAGTTAACAGCCCAAAAGAAAGAAAACAGGAGAAGTTTATTGTTGGGGTTTACTTATTATATGCAGAGTTGGAGACAAGTCTGTTGTGAAGGACAATAGGACATTGTGGCTGAAACGGAAGTGTGTACATGTGTGGGGAGGTTCTCGTTTATCCAGGTCGTAGAATAGTTAGTAGTAGTTGGTCAGGTTTATCTGGACTTGTTTTGTACTGTGGAAGATGTTTCTTAGCTTATCCAAGCCACTTCTTCTGCAGTTTTCCTACACCCTAATGAAAGGGACATTCTTTTGAGGACAGTGAGGTGCATACATTGGACTAGACAGGTCAACTGCTTCACAAGAGGCATGGAAGAGGTCATCTACGTCCTACTAGAACAACATTCCCTGAACCGGGGTAGTGGCCTTCAAAAACATCTGTTCTCCGCATATTATTAGGTTTTAAAGTGACATTAAACCCTCAGATTTTTTAACATAAAACAATACTGTAATGTGCGCCTTACTGTAATCCATGGTTGTTTCCCTTCTCTTTGCTGCTCTTCCTTTTAAATCTGTATCTCTTCTCATGCTGGGGGAGAACTTCCCTTTGCAGCTCAGGGCCTCTTCCTGTAGATCTGGCTCAGGTTACAAGCCTATACAAATGTATACACAGACACCATGTATCGATTCCTGAGACAAGGCAGTCTGCTGCAAAACAGAAGTTCTCCCCCAGCATGGGAAGAGATACAGATTTAAAAGGAAGATCAGCAAAGAGAAGGGAAACAACCATGGATTACAGTAAGGCGCACATTACAGTATTGTTTTATGTTAAAAAATCTGAGGGTTTAATGTCACTTTAAAACCTAATAATATGCGGAGAACAGATGTTTTTGAAGGCCACTACCCCGGTTCAGGGAATGTTGTTCTAGTAGGACGTAGATGACCTCTTCCATGCCTCTTGTGAAGCAGTTGACCTGTCTAGTCCAATGTATGCACCTCACTGTCCTCAAAAGAATGTCCCTTTCATTAGGGTGTAGGAAAACTGCAGAAGAAGTGGCTTGGATAAGCTAAGAAACATCTTCCACAGTACAAAACAAGTCCAGATAAACCTGACCAACTACTACTAACTATTCTACGAATAGTTCTATTTTTAGAACAATACTATTTTACAGTATTGTTTTATGTTAAAAAATCTGAGGGTTTAATGTCACTTTAACATCTCCACCCAGCAATGTGACAACAATTCACACCTTCATCTTTGTGACTCAAAGGAGGAACACCTATGCAGACCACTGGGGGAGAGTAGTCTGAGGAAATGCTTCCTCCTGTATGCAGCGGACTGACCACTGGGGGAGAAGAGACTGAGGAAATGCTTCCTCCTGTCTGCAGTGGACTGATCACTGGGGGAGGGGAGACTGAAGAAATACTTCCTCCTGCCTGCAGCAGACCGATGACATCTCAGCCTAAGCAAATTCAAGAACATGACTTTTGAATGATAGAAGGTGAAGTTAAAATAAATGATACTGTTGCTGAATATTGTAACATGTCTGGAATTTATTCGGGTTGATTTGTAAAGTTGCAGAGAGGTCCACAGACACAAAACGATTCTGGGTATCCGTCTCAAGAGACCGGCTGAGATCTGCAGTCCTCCCGGGATTATAAACCAAGTAAAATTGTTTACAGTCAGAGATCTAAGTGACTTTGCCTCAACGTATGTGCAGAAAAGTTTTTCTTTTCGGAGCGAGTTTGTCAAATCTGGAGGAAAATCCGGTTGTGTGTTAGCTGGGCTTGTGAGATCCCAAAGTTTTAAATTACGTTTAATTAGCCGGAGCGGCTCAGCACCTGGTTCTCGGAAAGCG